CAATTTTGGGGGATTTGGGGAGGGGAAGCCCCAATTTTGGGGGATTTAGAGGGGGGAAACCCCAATTTTGGGGGATTTGGGGTGGGAAAACCCCAATTTTGGGGGTGGGAAAACCCCAATTTTGGGGGATTTGGGGTGGGGGAAACCCCAATTTTGGGGGATTTGGGGGAAGAACCACCCCAATTTTGGGGGGATTTTGGGGGGGGAAACCCCAATTTTGGGGGTGGGAAAACCCCAATTTTGGGGGATTTGGGGTGGGGGAAACCCCAATTTTGGGGGATTTGGGGGAAGAACCACCCCAATTTTGGGGGGATTTTGGGGGGGGAAACCCCAATTTTGGGGGTGGGAAAACCCCAATTTTGGGGGATTTGGGGTGGGGGAAACCCCAATTTTGGGGGATTTGGGGGAAGAACCACCCCAATTTTGGGGGGATTTTGGGGGGGGAAACCCCAATTTTGGGGGTGGGAAAACCCCAATTTTGGGGGATTTGGGGTGGGGGAAACCCCAATTTTGGGGGATTTGGGGGAAGAACCACCCCAATTTTGGGGGGATTTTGGGGGGGGAAACCCCAATTTTGGGGGTGGGAAAACCCCAATTTTGGGGGATTTGGGGTGGGGGAAACCCCAATTTTGGGGGATTTGGGGGAAGAACCACCCCAATTTTGGGGGGATTTTGGGGGGGGAAACCCCAATTTTGGGGGTGGGAAAACCCCAATTTTGGGGGATTTGGGGTGGGGGAAACCCCAATTTTGGGGGATTTGGGGGAAGAACCACCCCAATTTTGGGGGGATTTTGGGGGGGTCCTCCTTCCTCTCCCTCTTCGCTCTCCGCTCGCTCTCGGAGCCGCCCCGGCCATGGCCGCTCCTCCCGGTCTCCTCGTTCCCTCCGCGCCGGGAGGAACCGGAGCCGCCCCCGGAGCCCCCGCGCTCCCCCCGGGAGCGGCTGCGCTTCCCGCGCCGCTCCCCGCCGCGGTGCCGGTGTTTGCGGTGCTCGCGGGGTCGCCCCGCGCTGCTGCTGCTGCTGCCTCCGCCGCCCGTCCCGGCCGCTCCCGGCGCCTCCTCGGCCGCCTCGGCCCCGCCGCGCTCCCGGTGCTTCTTCGAGGCGCCCATGGCCGCGCCGCCACTTCCGGGAGAGAGCGGAACTTCCGGTAGTTGCTATGGAGACGCTTCCGGTGCGCGGCTACTTCCGGCGGAGCGCGGTGCTGATTGGTCGAGGTACAGGCGGGACTTGAGGGGGCACTTGTGGGATGAACCATTATGCGCGCGGAGGGGTGGGCAGAATGAGCAGGGTGGTTGTGGCGCCGTCCTGTCTCCCCACAGAGGGCTGGAGACCTCCGTAAGAAGCACCGCGGATCTCTCAACACCGTTCTCAGTGATGAGACCCAGTGCGGGCCGCAGGATGGGGGGCTCCGTAAATAGCGCACCCCCGGGGTACAAAAAAATAGCGGCGCCCAACAGAGATCAATAGACACTTTAATAACACCAAAATGGCGGCTGCTTGGGGTGTGGCAAAATGGCGGCGCATGGGGGGGACCCCGAAAAGGACGGGGGTGTCGGGAATCCTCCGAGAGAAGAAAAAGGGACGACGCCTATAACTGGCGTCCCGCTGATCCGTGGTGCGAATCAGAGACTCCAAAACGCGCCCTCCGGGGCTCTGTCCCGCCCCGTTCGCCCGGGGCGTGTCCGGTCCCCCCCCCCGCCTCGTGCCCTTTGATCCGCCCGGTCCGGGCGCCGCGGCGGCGCCGGGGGGCGGTGCTGAGGGCGTGGCCACCGCAGAGTGGGCGTGGTTTTAGCGGGATATAAAAGGCTGCGCCGAGCCCCTCACGCCTGTCACGAGGTGTCGGCGAAGGTATCGCTCTCGTTGGGGTGCTGTGGGAGGGTTTTCTGGGGAGCACAAACAACTTTTGGGGTCCCCGTGAGAATATCGGGGTGCCCGGGGGTTCTTTGGGTGTTGCGGGGGGGCTCGGGATCCCCTCCAAGGGCGGGTTTGGTTGTTCAAGGAGGGGCTGGGGGAGGGCTGCGAGGCCTGGAAGGATTTTGGGGCGTCCTGTGAGGGATTTGGGGTCCCCTTGGGGGCGTTGGGTGCTCAAGAGGAGCTTGAAACCCCCACAAAAACATTTTAAAGCGGCCAGGGGGATGTCTAGAAAGACATTGAGTAACTTTTGGGGTGCAGGGAGCACCCCTGGATCTTTTCAAGAACCTTTGTCTGCCAGGGGCGAAGTCGGGGGCCAAAGATCCCCTTGAGAGTGTTTGGGGTGAAAGTTCAACCCCGCCCAAACCCAAATCGTTTGGGGCGATCCCTGAGGGCTTTTTGGGGCGATTCTGGAAGATTTCCGTGCGATGCCTGAGGGTTTTTGGGGCGATCCTGGAAGATTTCGGTGCGATGCCTGAGGGTTTTTGGGGCGATCCCCTGAAGGGTTTTTGGGGCGATCCCTGAGGGGCTTTGGGACAATCGCTAAAGGGTTTTTGGGGCGATTCCTGAGGGGTTTTAGGGGCGATCCCTGAAGAGATTTTGGGCTGATCCCTGAAGAGATTTTGGGGCGATACCGGAGGGATTTTTTTAGGGCGAACCCTGAAGGTTCTGGGACAATCCTTGAGGGGTTTCCCCTGATTGTTTTTGGGGTGATCCCTGAAGGGTTTTTAGGACTTTTCCTCAAGGGTTTTTGGGGCGATCCCTGAGGGCTTTTTGGGGCCATCCCTGAGGGCTTTTTGGGGCCATCCCTGAGGGGTTTTTGGGGCGATCCCTGAGGGGCTTTGGGACAATCGCTAAAGGGTTTTTGGGGCGATCCCCTGATTGTTTTTGGGGTGATCCCTGAAGGGTTTTTAGGATTATTCCTGAAGGTTTTTTAGGGCAATCCCTGAGGGGTTTTTGGGGCGATCCTTGAAGGGTTTTGGGCCGATCCTTGAGGGGTTTTTGGGGCGATCCCTGAGGTGTTTTTGGGGTGATTCCTGACGTGTTTTTAGCACGATTTCTGAAGGGTTTTAGGGCGATCCCTGAGGGGTTTTAGGGCGATCCCTGAGGGGTTTTTGGGGCGATCCCCTGAGGGTTTTTGGGGTGATCCTTGAAGGGTTTTTAGGACTATTCCTGAAGGGTTTTTGGGGTGATCCCTGAGGGGTTTTGGGGTGAACCTTGAAGGGATTTTAGGACGATCCCTGAAGGTTTTTTGGGGCGATCCCTGAGGGGTTTTTGGGGCGATCCCTGAGGGGCTTTGGGACAATCGCTAAAGGGTTTTTGGGGCGATTCCTGAGGGGTTTTAGGGGCGATCCCTGAAGAGATTTTGGGCTGATCCCTGAAGAGATTTTGGGGCGATACCGGAGGGATTTTTTTAGGGCGAACCCTGAAGGTTCTGGGACAATCCTTGAGGGGTTTTGGGACAATCCCTGAGGGTTTTTGGGACAATCCCTGAGGGTTTTGGGGTCTTTTCCCCAGATGGACCCCGAGTCTCCCCCCCGCGAGCTGGAGCTCTCGGCGCTGGAGGCCGAGAAGGAGCCGATGGCCGCGGCCGAGCCGGGGACCCCCCCCCAGCCCCCCTCTCCCCACCGCGACCCCTCCCCAGCCCCGGAGCAGCGGCAGGGCGGCGAGAAGAACGGGCTGGTGATGAAGATCCCCCCCGAGGAGGAGGAGGAGGCGGCTTTGGGGGGCGCGGGGGCTTCGGGGAGCCCCAAATTCACGGGGCTGGGCAAGGAGGAGCTGCTGAGGGAGGCGGGGACGCCGCTCTGGGCCCGGGCCCGCCTGGTGCTGCTCGTGCTCTTCTGGGGGGGCTGGCTCGGGATGCTGGGGGCCGCTGCTGCCATCGTGGCACAAGCCCCCCGATGCCAGCCCCTGCCCACCAAAGCCTGGTGGGAGCTCGGGGCGCTCTACAGGGCCCCCCCCAAGGCCTTTGGGGGCGATCTGAAAGGTGAGGAGGGGTCTTGGGAGTCCCCTGAGGGGTTTTGGGGGGGTCCCATGGGGGGTTTGGGGGCGTTTAGAGGGTCCCCAGAGGGGTGGAAGGATCCCAGAGGATGGCTGAAGGAGTTTGGGGGGGTTTAGAGGGTCCCCAGAGGGGTGGAAGGATCCCAGAGGATGGTTGGAGGAGTTTGGGGGGGTCCCATGGGGGGTTTGGGGGTGTTTAGAGGGTCCCCAAAGGTGAGCTGGGGGAGTTTAGGAAGTTTCCAGCCTGGCTTTGGGGAGGGTCTGTGAGGTCTTTTGGGGAATTGGGGGGGGTCCCAGGAAAGTTTGGGGGTCCCCTGTGAGCCTGTGTGGGGAGGCCCCGTTAATGGAGCCCCCAAAATAAATCCAAGGATATTTGGGGAGGGGGGAGATTCATTTCAGTGTCTTCCACCATGTGTCAGGGGTTAATTCCTGGGAGAAATTCCCAAAAAAACCCCACAGGATCAGCTTGGGGACCCCCTATTTCAGGATCCCCCGATAAAAGGGCCTGGGGGGAGGTGACTCAGCAATTTAGGGGAGTCCCCCCAACTTTAGGGGGGTTTGAGGGGGTCCAGGATCTCCAGAACCTGAGAGAGCCCCCAAGTTTTGGGAATTTTGGAATTTTCCCCAGTTCTGGGGCTGTTTTGGGATCCTGAGAGGGCTCTTTGGTGTCCCTGGGTTGGTTTTGGGGTCTCGGGGTGGGATTTTGGGGTCCCCAGCGGTGTTGGGGATCTCTTTGGAACCCCTGGGTTGGTTTTGGGGTCTCGGGGTGGGATTTTGGGGTCCCCAGCGGTGTTGGGGATCTCTTTGGTGTCCCTGGGTGGATTTTGGGGTTGTGCTGCCGGGTCAGATTTGGGGTTCACCCCCTTTTTGCAGGTGTGGAGAAACGTTTGGGGTACCTGAAGGACAAGCTGCAGGTGGGGGGGCTGGTGCTGGGCCCCGTGGCCCCCCAAAAACCCCCCGAGGGGCTCCTCCCCCCCTTGAAGGAGCTGGACCCAGCCCTGGGCACCATCCAGGACTTCAAGGCCCTCCTGCAGGCAGCCAAGGACAAAGGTGGGCTGGGGGGGACCCCAAAACTGGGGGGGACCCCAAAATGGGAAGGTTAGAGTGGGGGGAGGGGGGTGAACTGAGAGAAGATTCTGAGGCAGAGTTGTGGGGGTCTTTGGGACAGGATTGGGGGGAATTTTGGGGCAGGATTGTGGGGGTCTTTGGGGCAGAATTGGGGGGGTTTGGTGCAGGATTAGGGGAATGTTTGGGGCAGGGTTTGGGGGGTTTTTGGGGGGCTTTGGGTGACCCCCCATGTCCCCCCAGGTCTCGGTGGTGGCTGAGTGGAGGAACCTGACGGAGCAGCAGCCGAGCCCCAGCGGCGTGGCCAGGTGTGACCCCCAAACCTGTCCCCTGTGTACCCCCAAACTCACTGACCCCCCAAATCTGTCCCCTGTGTACCCCCGAACTCACTGACCCCCCCAAATCTCCTCGTCTCCTCATTCTCTGCCTCATGGACCCCCCACTTTGGGTTCTTCCCCCCCCCATTTTTGGGGTTCTCCCCTGGCCTTTCCCCCCATTTTTGGGGTGCTTTCCTGACCTTGTCTTCTACGTTCTTGGGGTGTTCCCTTGAATTTTCTCTGGTTTTGGGGTTCTCTCCTGACCTTTCCCTTCCCATTTTTAGGGTTGTTCTCCTGACTTTTCCTCCCCATTTTTGGGGTGTTCCCTTGAATTTTCTCCTCTGTTTTTGGGGTTGTTTCCTGACCTTTTCCCCCCCATTTTTGGGGTTCTCCCCTGACTTTTCCCCCCCCATTTTTGGGGTTGTTTCCTGACCTTTTCCCCCCCATTTTTGGGGTTCTCCCCTGATTTTTCCCTTCCCATTTTTGGGTTGTTCCCCTGACTTTTCCCCCCCATTTTTGGGGTTTTCCCTTTGTTACCTTCCCCGTTTTTGGGGTGCCCTGTCCCGTTTCCAGGGTGCTGGTGGGGGGCACTCGGCTGCAGGAGCCCTGGAAGGTTCCGGGGGTCCCGGGGGGGCTGCAGCTGCTCCTGGGGCCCTTCCTGAAGCCCCTGGAGCCCAAACCCGACGCGGAGTCGCCCGAGGGAGCCGTGAGGAGCCTGCTCAACTTCCTGAGCTCCAACTCGTCCGGCGTGGGGCTGGGCTGGAGCGTGAGTCTGCACCCCAAAACCTGCCCGGGACCCCAAAACCTACCTGGGACCCCCCAAAACCTGCCCAGGACCCCCAAATCCCCCCATCCCCTGGGACCCCAAAACCTCCCCGTGGGGCTGGCACCCCCTATGGGTTCTTCTTGCACCCCCAAAGCCCCCTGGGACCCCCAAATTCCCCCAGCCCACCTTCCTCCCCCCGCTGCCCCCTCCCATTTTTTGGGGTCCCCTCCCCATTTCGGGGGTCCCCCGCGGGTGGGGGGCTGCGGGGGGTGACGGGTGCCTGTCCCACAGGTGGGGTCCCCGTGGGAGGCCTGGGTGAGCCCCGAGCTGAGGCTGCAGCAGCTGCTGCTGCTCTGGGGGCTCCCCGGGACCCCCGTGCTGAGCTACGGCGACGAGCTGGGGCTGCCGCGGCCCCCCAAGGACCAGCAGGTACCGGGGGGCTCGGGGGGGCTTGGGGGGAGCTCTGGGTGCTCTGGAGATTTTGGGAAGGGATTCGGGGATTTTAGGGGTGCAGGGGAGGGGGCTGGGATGAACGCCTGACTCCAATTTCACCAGTTTTTTCCCCAAATTTCACCACTTTTGTGCCCCAATTTCACTATTTTCTGCCCTAATTTCTTTGTTTCTTGCCTAATTTCATTGGTTTTTGTCCCAGTTTTGCTGGTTTTGCCCCAATTTCACTGGTTTTGCCCCAATTTTGCCGTTTTTTGCCCCAGCTGCCATCGATGCCGTGGGAAATCATCGACGAACCGAAAAGAGGCGGGAACGGCTCGGAGGTGGGCGGGGCTTAGAGCTCTGATTGACATTGGTGTGGGCGGTGCTTGTTTGGGGGCGTGGTTTAAGGGGTGTGACTTAGACTTGCTCCTCCCCTGAGGGGGCAGAGCCTTAATTTCCATTTATGGCTTTCTCAAGGGGGTGGAGTTTTGGCCACGCCCATTTCTGGGTGGAGCCTTAGGGTGGGTCCCATAAAGTGGCAACATAGAATTGTTCTTAAAAGGGCAATGCATCTTGAAAAGGGCAACGCACTCTTAAAAGGGCAATGCATCCTTAAAAGGGTGATGCAATCTTAAAGGGGCAATGTGTCCTGAAAAGGGTAATGCACTCTTATATGGGTGGGGCACCTTTAAAAGGGCAATGCATCCTTAAAAAGGTAGCGTGTCCTTAAAAGGGCAACACGCCCTTAAAGAGGGTGCCACACATTAAAAAGCAATGTGCTCTTAAAAGGGCAATGCACCCTTAAAAGGGCAACACCACACACAGCCTCCTTAAAGGGCCAGCGCCTCCTTCTCTCGGCGCTGCATTTGGGGGTCTCCCAGCCCCTCTAACCCCTTCCCCCTTCCCTTGCAGCCCCCCGAGCTGGAGCTGTGCACAGCCCTGGCCTCCCTGCGTGCCCACGAGCGCTCGCTGCTGCTGGGGGAGGCTCTGGCGGTGCCGGCGGGCTCGGCCGTGGCGCTGCTGCGGCGCTGGGACCAGAGCGAGCGCTTCCTGCTGCTGCTCAACCCCCACGGCAGCGCCCTCAAACCCTTCTCGGGCAGCAGAGACCCCCGGGACCCCCCCCTGCCCGCCTCGGCCACGCTGCGCTTCAGCACGGGCCCCAAGGAGCGCGGGGAGCAGCAGCTGCGGCTGGAGGAGCTCCGGCTGGAGCCGCACCAGGGGCTCCTGCTGGGCTTCCCCTACAGCCCCGAGTGACCCCAACCCCCCCCGGCCCCACAAACCCACCCTGGCTCCCCTCCCCCACCAGCCTTGCACCCCCTCGTTTCGGGGCGGGGGGTCCCACACTCATCTCCCCTCGCTCGTTTTTTGGGTTCTCATCCTGCTCCCCCCCCACCCTAAAGGGTTTTTTGGGGTTTTCTTTCCCCAATTCTGTTTTGGGGTTTTTCTTTGTTTTCTGGGGGTGTTGGGGTCTCTCCACCCTCAAATTCTGAATAAATGATTGCATTTGTGCCCTTGCCTTTGGCTCTGTTTTTGGGGGGGGTCTGAGGGTCCCCTCCCCGCAGGATTTGGGGGGATCACAGACCCCCGGGTGTGCTCCAAAATAGGGGGGAGGATTGGGGGTCCCCGGGGAATATTGGGGGGCATGGGAGCCCAAAGAGGGAACCACGACACCCCAAAATGAGGGGGTGGTTGGATTTGGGGATTCAAGGAGGGTCGTGGGGCTGTTGAGGGGGTCAAGAAGACCCCAAAAATGAGGAAATCCGCCCAAAATTTGGGCTGGGATCCCTGGTGGGGCCTCAAGGGTGACCCTGAGAGAGGGGGACCCCCAAAATAAAGGGGTGGGGCCACCGTGGGGGGTGAGAAGATTTTGGGGAAGGGTCTCACATCCTGCCAGGAGCTCTGCAGGGTTTGGGGGGGTCCCTGAAGGATTTGGGGAGGGGTCTCGGGGATGATTTGGAGCTCTTGAGAAGGGCTGGATTAATTTTTTTTGGCCCTGCCCCTTTAAGCAGACCCCACCCTGTGAAACCCCGCCCATTTCAGGGTAGGCCCCGCCCCACCAGCCACACAATGTAATTATTAAAAATTTATTTCTATTCTTTTTATTCCATTTGTGGATGCTCAGAACTGCATGGCCGCCTCCAACGTCTCCGACAGCTTCGTGGCGATTTTCTCTGTGGGATGGGGGCCACCAGGAATTTGAAAAAAAGAGGGATCGGGAAGGTTTGGGGGGGTCAGGAAAAGGGGGTGTCCACTCACGTGCTCTTTTTTGCAGTTTTTTCCTCCTTTTTCCGGCTGCCTTCAGCCCCTGCCCCTGGAACAGAGCGGGGAGCGCAGCCACCTCCTCCAGGCTGGGGGCTGGGGGCAGCGACGCCCCCCCAGAGCCCCCCGACTTCACCCGGTGCTTCAGCTCCACCGTCATCGTGCCGAGCTGGGGGGGGTTAAATATTAACCCCAAAATCCCCCCCAAAAAAAAAACCCCCCAAGCTCAGGAAATCCCTTCCCACCTCCAGGCCGCCGCTGTCGTCCTCCATGGCTTCTCCTTGCCCTTCCTCCTCTGGGGACAGCCCCAGCCCCGTCACCGTCACCGGGACAGCTGTGGGGGGGCCAGGTGAGTTTTGGGGGGGTCCCCGAGGGGGGATGGGAGGGGGGGTTCAGGTGCTGCTCACCTGCCAGGGCCTCGGCATCGCCCCGTTCCAGAGCCTCCAGGTCCAGCGCCGGCCCCAGCGCTGGGAGGATTTGGGCCTCGAGCTGCACCCCCCGAGATTTGGGGGGGTGGGTGTAGTATGAGATCTTCCCACTGGGGAAAAAAAGGGGGGTCAGGGTAGGGGGGACTCCTCCTGACCCCAAAATCAGAGCTCAGGGTGTGGGGGGGTACTTGTGCCCCCAAAAAACACAGGTCATGGTGTTGGGGGGGGACCCCTCCTGTCCCCAAAATCAGAGCTCAGGGTGTGGAGGGGATCCCTGGTGCCCCCAAAAATGCAGCTCAGAGTGTGGGGGGACCCTGCAGCCCCCCCAGATATGGGGTGAGGGTGTGGGAAGACCCCTCACCACTCCCCAAAAAAAAGGAGGGACAGGGTGTGGAAACCCCTCCCCAACCCCCTAGAAATGGGGGACCCTCCCCAAACCCCCAGAAATGGGGTGAGGATGTGGGAAGACCCCTCCACTCCCCAAAAAAAGGGGATCAAAGTGGGGAGACCCCTCCAATCCCCCCAAAAAAGGGGGGCAGAGTGTGAAGACCCCTCCCCAACCCCCTCAAAATGGGATCAGGGTGTATGGAGACCCTCCCCATACAAGGGGTCAGGCTACAGAAAACCCCCCAAGCCCCCCAAAAAAGGGAAGCAGGGTACGGAAACCCCTCCTTGACCCTGAGAGAGGGGGACCCCCAAAATAAAGGGGTGGGGCCACCGTGGGGGGTGAGAAGATTTTGGGGAAGGGTCTCACATCCTGCCAGGAGCTCTGCAAGGTTTGGGGGGGTCCCTGAAGGGTTTGGGGAGGGGTCTCGGGGATGATTTGGAGCTCTTGAGAAGGGCTGGATTAATTATTTTAGCCCTGCCCCTTTAAGCAGACCCCACCCTGTGAAACCCCGCCCATTTCAGGGTAGGCCCCGCCCCACCAGCCACACAATGTAATTATTAAAAACTTATTTATATTCTTTTTATTCCATTTGTGGATGCTCAGAACTGCATGGCCGCCTCCAACGTCTCCGACAGCTTCGTGGCGATTTTCTCTGTGGGATGGGGGCCACCAGGAATTTGAAAAAAAGAGGGATCGGGAAGGTTTGGGGGGGTCAGGAAAAGGGGGGTGTCTTCACTCACGTGCTCTTTTTTGCAGTTTTTTCCTCCTTTTTCCGGCTGCCTTCAGCCCCTGCCCCTGGAACAGAGCGGGGAGCGCAGCCACCTCCTCCAGGCTGGGGGCTGGGGGCAGCGACGCCCCCCCAGAGCCCCCCGACTTCACCCGGGGCTTCAGCTCCACCGTCATCGTGCCGAGCTGGGGGGGGTTAAATATTAACCCCAAAATCCCCCCCAAAAAAAAAACCCCCCAAGCTCAGGAAATCCCTTCCCACCTCCAGGCCGCCGCTGTCGTCCTCCATGGCTTCTCCTTGCCCTTCCTCCTCCGGGGACAGCCCCAGCCCCGTCACCGTCACCGGGACAGCTGTGGGGGGGCCAGGTGAGTTTTGGGGGGGTCCCCGAGGGGGGATGGGAGGGGGGGTTCAGGTGCTGCTCACCTGCCAGGGCCTCGGCATCGCCCCGTTCCAGAGCCTCCAGGTCCAGCGCCGGCCCCAGCGCTGGGAGGATTTGGGCCTCGAGCTGCACCCCCCGAGATTTGGGGGGGTGGGTGTAGTATGAGATCTTCCCACTGGGGAAAAAAAGGGGGGTCAGGGTAGGGGGGACTCCTCCTGACCCCAAAATCAGAGCTCAGGGTGTGGGGGGGTACTTGTGCCCCCAAAAAACACAGGTCATGGTGTTGGGGGGGGACCCCTCCTGTCCCCAAAATCAGAGCTCAGGGTGTGGAGGGGATCCCTGGTGCCCCCAAAAATGCAGCTCAGAGTGTGGGGGGACCCTGCAGCCCCCCCAGATATGGGGTGAGGGTGTGGGAAGACCCCTCACCACTCCCCAAAAAAAAGGAGAGACAGGGTGTGGAAACCCCTCCCCAACCTCCTAGAAATGGGGGACCCTCCCCAAACCCCCAGAAATGGGGTGAGGATGTGGGAAGACCCCTCCACTCCCCAAAAAAAGGGGATCAAAGTGGGGAGACCCCTCCAATCCCCCCAAAAAAGGGGGGCAGAGTGTGAAGACCCCTCCCCAACCCCCTCAAAATGGGATCAGGGTGTATGGAGACCCTCCCCATACAAGGGGTCAGGCTACAGAAAACCCCCCAAGCCCCCCAAAAAAGGGAAGCAGGGTACGGAAACCCCTCCTAGCCCCCCCAGAAAGGTGATCAGAGTGTGGGGATACCCCCCCCCCCCAAAAAGTCCCTGTCCCTCCCAGACCTGGTCCAGTCGTGCAGCAGGGCCGTGGCGGCGGCGTGGGCGTCCGGGAGCCCCCCCGGGCGGAGCCGGCCCTGCCGCCGGGCCAGGTGGGCCAGGAACTGCAGGGGGTCGCTGCAGGGGGGGACCCCGTAGAGCTGGCTCAGCTGTGGGGGGGGGGACACACAGGGGTTTGGGGGGGGGATGGACACGCGGGGGACTGCCAGCCTGCCCCCCCCCGTGGTGGTAAAAACGGGGTGAAAATGCTCAAAATGGGGGTGGGGGTTCCCCTGGAATAAACTCCCCTCCTCCACATTGTTGAGCCCCCCCCTTTAATCCCTGAATCCCCCAAAGGGCTGAGGTGGAAAAACGGGGTACCCCCAAATTGCCACGGGGATGGGGCACCCCCACAAGCACCCCCAGCCCCCCGGGGGGGGCCCACCAGGCGTCGGCTCTGCTGCTGCGTGCACGCCTTGAAGGCCACGGTGGGGAACTCGTCGCGCAGGTGCTTCAGCCACGCGGCCACCACGTCCCGCGGCACCAGGTCTGCGTGGGGGGACGCACAGGGCTGTCCCCAGGGCTGCGGGGACAGCGGAACCCCCCCCCCCAAAATCCACGCTGGGACCCCCACCCAGATCCACACCCCTCCCCTCACCGATCTTGTTGAGGACGAGCACGAGGCGCTGCTGCGGCCGCAGGGCCCCCTCGAGCCGGGGGCTGCGGCAGCCCTGGGGGTCGCGGGCGTCCAGCACCTCCAGCACCACGTCAGACGCCGTCAGCACCTGCCAGAATCGGGGTTCAGCTGGGGGAAAGACCCCCAAAAATCCCCCTCCCCACCCCACCCCCGCGGCACTGACCTTGCGCAGCTCCCGCCCGAACTGGCGCAGCGACGCCTCGTCCTGGGGGGGCTGGGGGGGCTCCTCCTCCTTCTCTTCCTTCTCCTGGGGGTACCTGTGTTATGGGGATCCCCCCCAGCCGTGGGGGGCACTCCCGGGGAGCCCCCCAACTTCTGGTGGGAATCCCCCCCTGTGTGGGGAGCCCCCTGCCCTAGAGAAGAATCCCCCCTCCTTTCCAAGGGGAGCCCCTCTCAGGGGAATCCCCCTCTTTGGGAAGCCCCCCACTCTTCAGGGAACTCCTCCCTCTTTAGGGAGCCCCCCACTCTTTAGGGAGCCCCCCGGGGTGCCCCCAGCCCCACCTGGCTCTGGAAGCGCTGCTGTCGCTGCAGAGCATCCGCCAGCTGCACGGCCAGGTGCGAGCGCTGCTGCCCCGTCAGCGGCTGCGGGACACGGGGGGGTCAGACCCCAGACCCCCCCGGGGTCAGACCCCAAACCCCCCCGGGTCAGACCCCAGACCCCCCCTGGGTCAGACCCCAGACCCCCCCTGGGTCAGACCCCAGACCCCCCCTGGGTCAGACCCCAGACCCCCCCTGGGTCAGACCCCAGACCCCCCCTGGGTCAGACCCCAGACCCCCCCTGGGTCAGACCCCAGACCCCCCCTGGGTCAGACCCCAGACCCCCCCTGGGTCAGACCCCAGACCCCCCCTGGGTCAGACCCCAGACCCCCCCTGGGTCAGACCCCAGACCCCCCCTGGGTCAGACCCCAGACCCCCCCTGGGTCAGACCCCAGACCCCCCCTGGGTCAGACCCCAGACCCCCCCTGGGTCAGACCCCAGACCCCCCCTGGGTCAGACCCCAGACCCCCCCTGGGTCAGACCCCAGACCCCCCCTGGGTCAGACCCCAGACCCCCCCTGGGTCAGACCCCAGACCCCCCCTGGGTCAGACCCCAGACCCCCCCTGGGTCAGACCCCAGACCCCCCCTGGGTCAGACCCCAGACCCCCCCTGGGTCAGACCCCAGACCCCCCCTGGGTCAGACCCCAGACCCCCCCTGGGTCAGACCCCAGACCCCCCCTGGGTCAGACCCCAGACCCCCCCTGGGTCAGACCCCAGACCCCCCCTGGGTCAGACCCCAGACCCCCCCTGGGTCAGACCCCAGACCCCCCCTGGGTCAGACCCCAGACCCCCCCTGGGTCAGACCCCAGACCCCCCCTGGGTCAGACCCCAGACCCCCCCTGGGTCAGACCCCAGACCCCCCCTGGGTCAGACCCCAAATCCCCCCCAGTTCAGATCCCAAACTCCCCGGGTCAGACCCCAGACCCCCCCTGGGTCAGACCCCAAAACCCCCCTGGGTCAGACCCCAGACCCCCTCGGGGTCACACTGCGGGGGGTGACCCCACACAGCCCCCCCAAGTTTCTACTTGAGAGGGGGACCCCAAAATGCCCCGCCGGGATCTCAGTGGGAGCAAAGCTCCAAAATCCTTTTGTGCTCCGAATCTGCCAGGAACACCCCAAAATACCGCGGGGGAACCCCAGAATCCCTCCGGCGGTTGCATCTGGAGGACAACCCCAAACTCCCCCCGGCGGGGTCACCCCCAAAACGCCCCCCGGTTCTTCACCTGTCTCTGCCGGGTCTCGCTCTGCTGTTTCTGCGCGAAGGCGGCCAAGCGGCCGAGCCGCGGCACCCCCGGGTCCTTCTTGATCCCGACACGGGCGAGCCGGGCCTGGGGACAACGCGGGGGTGACACCGGGGGGGGGCTGCACCCCAAACCCGCCCGGCTCCCTCCGTGCCTCCCCCGGGCTGGGGCTCACCTGGACGCGCTTCTTCCGGGACGCCTCCACCTGTCGTCCTGCGGGGAGGGGCGGGGTGAGTGCGGGAGGGTCCCCAGAGCCCCCCGAGCCCTCCCGGTGCCTCCCCGAACTCACGGGACCGGGTCATGGCTGCGGCTCCCACGCCGCCGGGGATCGCTGGCGCCGCGGAGTGACGCCACTTCCGGCGCGGAGTAAAAGCGCGCAGCGTCACTTCATCGCCACGCCCAACATGGCGGCCACCGGACACACTCAAAATGGCGGCCCCCTCACGCAGATACCACACCCAAGATGGCGGCCACCTTCTGGCAGCATCCACACCCACGTTGGCGTCCCGGTCCCTCCCTCCAGTGTCCTCAACGTGCCACACTCGACATGGCGGCGGCAGCGCCACGGCCACGCTGAGGATGGCGGACAGCAGATCCCGCCTTTAGTGCCACATCCAACATGGCGGCCCCGCCTGAATGTCAGCCCGCCACACCCAAGATGGCGACCGGACTCCACCCCCGCCCCCCCACCACACCCAAGATGGCGGCCAAGACCACCCCTGCCCCCAAGAACGACCGGGACTGCCCTTACCAAGAGTGCACTTTTTTATTCCTTTTTTTTTTTTTTTAAACTTTTTCTCTCAGTTTTGGGGTGGGGGGAGGGGCTGAACTTCTTATTTATAATTTCAGGGGCTGCCCCCTTTCACCACCCTGCGCCCCCCCAGCCCCCACACAGGGGGAGGCAAAAAAAAAACAACAACAAAAAAAAACAAACAAAAAAAAAAACCAAAAAACCCCAAACCAAAACAAACCAAAAAAAGCCAATGGAACCAAAAAATATATATATATTTATAGAGCCCCTGCGGGGGGCCGGCGCGGCCCCCCTAGGCCAGCCCGAAGCCCTCGGAGCACTCCTGGATGGCCAGCAGCAGCATGTGCCGCAGCTTCTCGTAGCTCTCGTAGGCCGGCAGGTCCAGCTGGTTGAAGCTGGGGACGCACACGCGTGTCACTGTCACCACGCCCGCGTTGTCCCCGCGTTCCTGTCCCAGGTTTGTCCCCCCAAGCTCCGATGCGGTGTCACTGTCTCACCTCACCGCCCCACCCAGTCCTGCTCCTCGTGGTCACCCCACCCCATCTCCGTGTCCTCCTGTGTCCCCTTTCATGTCACTCTGTCCCAGGTGTGGCCTGTGTCGCTCTGTCCCCTGATGTCCCCCCGTGTCCCCTCACCAGGTGTGGGCTGGGATTATGACCTCAGTGTCCCCTCATGTCCCCTCCTGTGTCCCCCATTCCCGTGTCCCCAAACCAGGTGTGGGCTGGGATTATGATCTCAGTGTCCCCTCATGTCCCCTCCTGTGTCCCCTGCCAGGGGCAGGTGCTCAGTGTCCCCTCCTGTGTCCCCCATTCCCGTGTCCCCAAACCAGGTGTGGGCTGGGATTATGATCTCAGTGTCCCCTCATGTCCTCCTGTCCGTGTCCCCATGTCCCTCCTGTGTCCCTGTGTCCCCTCGCCAGGTGTGTGCCAAGTCTGCCAAGACTGTCCCCCCATGTCCCTCTGTCCTCCTGTCCCTCTGTCCTCCTGTCCCTGTGTCCCCCATGTCCCCAGACCAGCTGTGTGCCAGGGGGACAGCACAGTGGCCAGTGTCACCTCATGTCCCTGTCCCTGTCACCAGGTGTGTGATGGGGGGACACTGTCAGCGTCCCCTCAGGTCCTTCTGTCACCCCTCGTGTCCCTCACCAGGTGTGGGCCGAGAGCAGTGCTCAGTGTCCCCTCCATGTCCCCCACTGTGTCCTCCTCAGTGTCCCCATGTCCCTCCCGTGTCCCCCCCATGTCCTCATGTCCCCATGTCCCCCTTGTGTCCTTCACCAGGTGTGGGCCAAGGGCAGCACGTCGGTTTCCCGTGTCCCCATGTCCCCGTGTCCCTCACCAGGTGTGGGCCAAGGGCAGCACGTCGGTGTCCCCATGTCCCTCCCCCCATGTCCCCATGTCCCCCCTGTGTCCCCGTGTCCCTCACCAGGTGTGGGCTGAGGACAGTGCTCTGTGTGTCCCCCATGTCCTCCCCGTGTCCCCGCCATGTCCTCATGTCCCCATGTCCCCCTTGTGTCCTTCACCAGGTGTGGGCCAAGAGCAGCACGTCGGTGTCCCCATGTCCCCCTGTGTGTCCCCTCCATATCTCCATGTCCCCCTTGTGTTCCTCACCAGGTGTGCACTGAGGGCAGCCGGTCAGTGTCACCGTGTCCTCCCCATGTCCCCCCCATGTCCCTCACCAGGTATGGGCCGAGGGGAGCCAGTCGGGGTCTCCATGTCCCCCCCATGTCCCTCACCAGATGTGGGTTGAGGGGAGCCAGTCGGGGTCTCCATGTCCCCCCCAAGTCCCCCCCATGACCCTCACCAGGTGTGGGTTGAGGGGAGCCAGTCAGTGTCTCCATGTTCCCTGCCATGTCCCCCCAATGTCCCCACCATGTCCCTCACCAGGTGTGGGCCGAGGGCAGCCGGTCGGTGTCTCCATGTCCCCCCCGTGTCCCCCCCATGTCCCCTCCATGTCCCTCACCAGGTGTGGGCCGAGGGCAGCCGGTCGGTGGAGCGGTCGTCGCGGTGGATCTGGAATTTCTGGATGCCGTTCATGCCCTCGAGGGCGGCGAATCCCTGCAGGGGCACCTTGGACGTGCCCGTCACGAACTGCAGGAACTTGGCGCGGTCGGCCTGGTCGAAGGAGCGCAGGGCACGCCAGAACCACTGGATCTGGGCACGGGGACAGGGACAGGGACAGTCAGCCACCGGGACCCCCTGGAATCCCACCAGGATGCTCCCCAAAACCTCGCCCCAGCACCCCCTGGATCCCTCCAGAACCCTCTGGAACCCCACAGAATCCCCCTGGAATACCCTGAGATCCCCCCTAGGACCCTCTGAAATCCACCCAGAACCCCCTGAAGTAGCCCCAGAACCTCCTGAAATCGCCCCAGGACCCTCCAGGTGCCAGCCCCACCTGGATGGAGTCACCCTGGTACCCAGAACCCCCTGAAATCTCCCCTGAACCCCCTGAAATCTCCTCAGAACTCCCCAAAGAACCCCCTGAAATCTCCTCAGAACTCCCTGAAATCCACCCAGAACCTCCTGAAGTAGCCCCAGGACCCCCCCAGGTGCCAGGCCCACCTGGATGGAGTCACCCTAGTACCCAGAACCCCCTGAAATCCCCTCAGAACCCCCTGAGATCTCCCCTGAACCTCCTGAAATCTCCTCAGAACTCCCTGAAACCCCCCCAGAACCCCCTGAAATCCCCCCTGAACCACCCCCCCAGGTGCCAGCCCCACCTGGATGGAGTTGCCCTGGTACTTGTGGTACTCGGTGTTGGCCTTGAGGTCGTCGATGTCGATGGTGGGCAGCCCCGAGATGAGCAGCTCCAGCTCCTGCTCCGTGAAGATGGAGATGAGGCGCTTGGGGATGATCTCGTAGAATCCTTCCAGGAACGCCGCCAGCTGCTTCCGGATGGCGCCTGCCATGGGATTTTGGGGGGGTCAAGAGGGTCTCAGAAGCCCCCCCAGAGTCCCCCCCGGCACCGATGCTCACCGGTCATGCGCATCTGGCACACGAGGTGCACGTACTCCTTCTTGTTCTCCTCCGTCACCAGCACGTTGGCCCCGTTGGGCTTCAGGTCCCGCACCTCGCACACCCCGAATTCCTGCACCTGGGGGGGCACGGGGGGGTCAGCAGGGTGTGGGGACACAGAGGGGACATCCCTGAGCCTCGAACACCCCAAATTCCTGCACCTGTGGTGGGCATAGGGTGGTCTGCAGGGTGTGGGGATATTCCTGAACCTCAAACGCCCCAAATTTCCACACCTGGGGAACCTCAAACCCCCCAATTTGTGCACCTGGGGGGGGGCATGGGGTGCCAGGGGGGGTCAGCAGGGTGTGGGGACATCCCTGAGCCTCAAACCCCCAAATTCCTGCACCTGGGGGAGCACAGGGGGGCATTGGGGCGGGTCAGCAGGGCGTAGGGACCTCAAACATTCCCAAATTTGGGGGTCCTGGTGCTGTTTTTGGGGGTCCTGATGCTGGTTTTGGAGGTCCCAGGGGGGTCCCGGTGCTGGTTTTGGGGGGTTCCCACCTCAGTGCTGAAGGTGAGGTCGTAGCCCAGCGTGGAGACGTCGTTCTCCAGCAGGTACACGAGGCCCTGGTAGAAGTGATAGTCCTCGCTCTCCATGTCCGTGTACCTGGGGGGCCAAAAAACAGGGGGCAGTGCCCCAAAAATGGGGTCAGAAACCATGGGGAGCCCCAAAACAGGGTCAGAACCTGCTGGAGAGCCCAAAAAAAACCAGGGTCAGACCCTGCCAGGGGTTCAGAACCCCATAAATACAATCCCACCCCCCTGAGAGTGTCCAGCACCCCACAAATGACCCCAAATAACTTTTGAAGGGTGTCCAGCACCCCACAAATGGCTCCAGCATCCTGTAAATGACTGCAGCACCCCACAAACGCAGTCCTACACCCCCAAACACACTCTCACACCCCACAAACACAGCCCCACCCCATAAATGCAATCCCACCCCCCTCTGAGGGGCTCCATCAGCCCCTAAACGCAGTCCCACACCCCAAAAAAAGGTTCCACCCCCCACAAACACACTCCCACACCCCACAAACACAATCCCACCCCCACAAACACATCCCCACACCCCAAAAACACACTCCCACCCCCAACAAACACCCCCATATCACAGAAAAACACTCCCACCCCCACAAACACACCTCCACACCCCACAAACACACTCCCACACCCCACAAACACAACCTCCACACCCCACAGACACAATCCCACACCCCACAAACACAATCCCACACCCCACAAACACAATCCCACACCCCACAAACACAATCCCACACCCCACAAACACAATCCCACCCCACAAACACACTCCCACCCCAACAAACACACCTCCACACCCCACAGACACAATCCCACACCCCACAAACACAATCCCACACCCCACAAACACAATCCCACACCCCACAAACACAATCCCACACCCCACAAACACAATCCCACCCCACAAACACACTCCCACCCCAACAAACACACCTCCACACCCCACAGACACAATCCCACACCCCACAAACACAATCCCACACCCCACAAACACAATCCCACACCCCACAAACACAATCCCACACCCCACAAACACAATCCCACCCCACAAACACACTCCCACCCCAACAAACACACCTCCACACCCCACAGACACAATCCCACACCCCACAAACACAATCCCACACCCCACAAACACAATCCCACACCCCACAAACACAATCCCACACCCCACAAACACAATCCCACCCCACAAACACACTCCCACCCCAACAAACACACCTCCACACCCCACAGACACAATCCCACACCCCACAAACACAATCCCACACCCCACAAACACAATCCCACACCCCACAAACACAATCCCACACCCCACAAACACAATCCCACCCCACAAACACACTCCCACCCCAACAAACACACCTCCACACCCCACAGACACAATCCCACACCCCACAAACACAATCCCACACCCCACAAACACAATCCCACACCCCACAAACACAATCCCACACCCCACAAACACAATCCCACCCCACAAACACACTCCCACCCCAACAAACACACCTCCACACCCCACAGACACAATCCCACACCCCACAAACACAATCCCACACCCCACAAACACAATCCCACACCCCACAAACACAATCCCACACCCCACAAACACAATCCCACCCCACAAACACACTCCCACCCCAACAAACACACCTCCACACCCCACAGACACAATCCCACACCCCACAAACACAATCCCACACCCCACAAACACAATCCCACACCCCACAAACACAATCCCACACCCCACAAACACAATCCCACCCCACAAACACACTCCCACCCCAACAAACACACCTCCACACCCCACAGACACACCTCCACACCCCACAAACACAATCCCACACCCCACAAACACAATCCCACCCCACAAACACACTCCCACCCCAACAAACACACCTCCACACCCCACAGACACAATCCCACACCCCACAAACACAATCCCACACCCCACAAACACAATCCCACACCCCACAAACACACCTCCACACCCCACAAACGCAATCCCACCCCCCTCTGAGGGGCTCCCACACCCCACAAACACCCCCGGAGCTCTCCCAGCCCCCCCGGGCCGCCGTGGCTCGCCCCTTACCGCACGGACTTGCCCAGGATGTGTTTGTAGAAGGAGCGGGTGAAGTAGCACTCCAGCAGCCGGTTGTCGTAGACGGCCTTGGCCACGATCCTGCCCACGAACTTGAAGTAGCTCAGGTGGTTGGGGTTGCAGTGGGACGAGGGGTTGATGGTGTAGGTGACGCGGTCGCCGGGCGAGGTGCGGAACAGGGCGTACATGGGGTTGAACATCTCGCGGGAGATGATCATGTACCACTCCCGCAGCAGCCCCCCGGCGTCCTGGCCCTCCTCGCCCTCGAACACGATGTACCTGCGGGGAATTTGGGGGGTTAGGGGGGGTGGGAGAGGGTGTTTGGGGAGGGTGGAGGTGGTTTTGGGGAGATTTGGGGGGAATTTGGGGGGTTGGAGGTGGTTTTGGGTTGGGTGTCCCAGGAGATATTTTGAGGTTCCCAGGGGTGTTTTGGGTGTCCCAGGAGATATTTTGAGGTTCCCAGGGGTGTTTTGGGTGTCCCAGGAGATATTTTGAGGTTCCCAGGGGTGTTTTGGGTGTCCCAGGAGATATTTTGAGGTTCCCAGGGGTGTTTTGGGTGTCCCAGGAGATATTTTGAGGTTCCCAGGGGTGTTTTGGGTGTCCCAGGAGATATTTTGAGGTTCCCAGGGGTGTTTTGGGTGTCCCAGGAGATATTTTGAGGTTCCCAGGGGTGTTTTGGGTGTCCCAGGAGATATTTTGAGGTTCCCAGGGGGGTTTTGGGTGCCCCAGGAGATATTTTGAGGTTCCCAGGGGGGTTTTGGGTGCCCCAGGAGATATTTTGAGGTTCCCAGGGGGGTTTTGGGTGCCCCAGGAGATATTTTGAGGTTCCCAGGGGTGTTTTGGGTGCCCCAGGAGATATTTTGAGGTTCCCAGGGGTGTTTTGGGTGCCCCAGGAGATATTTTGAGGTTCCCAGGGGTGTTTTGGGTGTCCCAGGAGATATTTTGAGGTTCCCAGGGGTGTTTTGGGTGTCCCAGGAGATATTTTGAGGTTCCCAGGGGTGTTTTGGGTGCCCCAGGAGATATTTTGAGGTTCCCAGGGGTGTTTTGGGTGTCCCAGGAGGTATTTTGGGGTATCCCAAGTGTATTTTCAGTGTCCCAGGGGGATATTTTGGATATCCCAGGGATATTTTGGATATCCCAGGGATATTTTGAGGCTCCGAGGAGATATTTTGGGGTGTCCCTGGGGGCTCTCACAGGCGGTTCTTCATCTCCTCGGGGGATTTACGGTGCAGCTCCCGGTACGAGTCCTCGAAGACGTGGTCGCGCCGGACGTGCACGGCCATGTCCTCCTTACGCAGCCCCTCGTCCAGGCGCTCCAGCTCCTGCCTGAAATACCTGACCAAGGCAAAAAGGGGGTGTCAGGGGCTGTGGGACCCCCGAGACCCCCCCTTCCTGGGACCCCCCCCCCAAGCCACTCACTTGCGCTTGACGTCGAAGTCCAGCACGCGGATGTAGTCGACCAGCACGGCGAAGGGGCCGTCGGCCAGGTGTGTGGTGGATTGCCGCAGGATCTGGTTCAGCACCGTCCGGTGGGTCTCTGGGGAGGGATAAAAAAAGGGGTTTGGGGGTGTCCCCAAATAGGGGAACCCTCCTCCTGGAGTGGCCTGCGGTTGTGGTTCTTCAGGAGGGGAGGTTTTTCCCTCTCAGTGTTTGGAAGGTGCTGTTGGTGGCCTCGATCTCGGCTCGCGCGGATCTCGAAGTGTTGAGGGGGTCAAAAATCCCCCAAATTCATCCTCCTCAAATTCCCACTTTCTAAAGACTTGAGGAGCCCAAAAATCCCCCAAATTTTCCCTCTCCAAAGCCTCCCCAAATTCACAGTCTCAAAGCCTTGGGGTTCCCCCAAACCCCTTCCCAAATCCTTGGGGTTCCCCCAAACCCCTCCCCAACGTCCCAAAACCCCTCTCAAATCCCCCCAAAACCCCTCCCCACACTCCTAATCCCTTTCCCAATCCCCTAAGCTCCCCCTAAGTCCCCCACAAAGCCCCTAAACACCCTCCAAGTTCCTTCAGCCCCCCCCAAAACCCCTTCCCCACTTCCTCAATCCCTTAAACTCCCCCAAATCTCCCTCCAATGCTCCCAAACACCCTCCAAGCCGCCTTCGGCCCCCCCAATCCCCTTCCCCACATTCCCAATCCCCTTCCCCACACCCTAACCAACCCCAAAGCTCCTAAGCACCCTCCAAGCTGCCTTCAGCACCCCCCAAAACCCTTCCCAACCCCTTCCCCACTTTCCCAACTCCCACATCCCTCCTCCAAAGCCCCCAAACACCCTTCAAGCTGCCTTCGGCCCCCCCAAACCCCCTCCCCACACTCCCAAAGCCTTTCCCCACTTTCCCAATCCCCAAAGCCCCCCGTGAAGCCCCCCCAGCACCCCGGCTCACCGGCGAAGCGCAGGAATTTCTGCGTGTCCGGGGGCAGGCTGGCCGAGATGTGCATGGCCGAGGGCTCCCGTGAGAAGAAGGGGTCCAGGGCAGAGGGGGTGGCGGGGGTGAGGGGCGCAGGGGACAGCGGGGGTGGCTCGTCCTTGATGTGTGCCAGCTGGCTCTCCCGCGTGTCCCGCACCGGCGGGCGGCTCTCGCGCTCCGTGGCGTGCACCAGGAAAAACGCCTCGACGGCCGGCTGCAGCACTGCGGGACAGGGGTCAGCGGCGGCGTGGGGCAGGGGACAGCACGGGGACAGCAGTGGCGTGGGGCAGGGGACAGCACGGGGACAGGGTGCCCCGGGGTTTAGGGTCAGCCCTGTGTTTTTGGGGTCCCTGTACAGAATCCAGCCCACCACCCCAGGATTTAGGGTCAGCCCTGTGTTTTTGAGGCCCCCCAGGATTTGGGGTGACGCACCGAGCACGGCGTGCTGGTCGTGGGACTCCTCGAGCTCCTTGAGGCACTCTCCCAGCATGTCCCACAGCTCGTCCAGGCTCAGCTGCTCGCTCAGCAGGGGCAGCTCGGGGGGCCGCTCCTCCCTGTCCCTGTCCCTGTCCCGGTCCCCGCCCTGCGCGGCCTCGGGGCCTGGGGAGGGACAAGGTCAGGACATGGCCGTGTGACCAGTGACACCCCACTGGTGACACCTGCCCAACAACCAGTGCCACACAACCAGTGACACCCACCCAACCAAGGCCAGCCAACATGACCAGTGCCACCCCACCAGTGACACCCACCCAACCAAGGCCAGCCAACATGACCAGTGCCACCCCACCAGTGACACCCACCCAACCAGTGACACCTACCCAACCAGTGCCACCCCACCAGTGCCACCCAACCCCACCAGTACCACGCCCTGCAGTGATACTGGGATGGCACTGCACCAGCACCAGCACGGGATGGGGAATGACCCCAGTGGTGGCACTGGGGGTGACTGGGTGACACTGGAGGGTGACTGGGTGGCACTGGGGGTGACTGGGCGGCACTGGGCCGTACTGGAGGGTGACTGGGGGGGGTTCTCACCCACGTCCTGCGGGGCGGGCGAGGGCTGGTCCACGTCCATGGGCGACTCCTCGCGCCGGGGGACGGCGTCCGCGGGCCCGGCCTCCGACTGGGGGGGACGGCGGCGGCTTTAGGGGGCCAAGACCCCCACAGGGGAGCCCCCAGAGCCCCCCCGGGCTGGGGGGACCCCAAAACATGGGAGGGAAGGGGGCTGGGAGCCGCGGAGGGAGGGGGGAGAAGCGCGAGGGGGATGGGGAGAGGGAGGAAGAGGAGGAGGAGGGGGGGAAGGAGGAGGAGAGCAATAATGAAGATGGAAGAGGATGAAGGAGGAGGATGAGGATGATGATGATGGGGACGAGCAGGAGGAAGGCTGTGGGGGAGTGGAGGCAGGAGGGGTGAGGAAGAGGATGAGGAGGGGATGGGAGAATGAGGATGAGGCTGAGGAGGATCAGGGATGTGACGATGAGGGGGAACAGGAGGAAGAGCAGGAGAGGAGGAAGGGGCAGGACAAGGATGAGGGGGGCTGAGGAGGGGGTGGTGAGGATGATGAGGAGGGGAGGGCCAGGGAGGCTGAGGAGGACAAGGAGGAGGTGAGGATGATGGGGACGATGAGGAGGAGGGGTTAAGGATGACGAGAAGGGGATGAGGATGATGAGGGGATGAGGATGATGAGGAGGGGGCGAGGATGACGAGAAGGGGGCGAGGATGATGAGAAGGGGGCGAGGACAATGAGAAGGGGATGAGGATGATGAGAAGGGAATGAGGATGATAAGGAGGGGAAGGCCAGGAAGGCCGAGGATGACGAGGAGGAGGCCGAAGAGGCCAGGACAGGGCGCACAGAAGCGGGAGGAAGAGCAGGGCAGGGTGGAGGAAGGCGGCCGTGCTAACCGTGTCTCCCTGCTGCCGCCTCCGGGCCCTCTGGCCCTCACGTACCATTTGTATGATGGCGTCGGCCTCGGCCTCCAGCTGCCGGACGGCGGCCTGGATGCTGCCGGCCGCCCCCAGCCCCGCGGCGCCTGCGGGCACAGCGCGGTCAGCGGTCAGCACGGACAGCACTCAGCGGTCAGCGGGGTGGCCGGAGCGGCCCTTACCCAGCCGGCCGGGCTGCTTGGCCTTGCGGTGCGCCCGGCGCGTGTCGTCGCGCAGCTGGATGATGACCTGCAGCACGCGCAGGAAGAAGCGCTGCGTGGACGTCTTGGAGGTCAGCACGGACATGGAGGGCAGCTGCAGCTCCCGGCCGCCCAGAGCGCGCTTCTGAGACGCCACGATGACCACGCTCTCGGCCGTGTCGAAGCTGGGGGGACAGGACATGGGTCAGGGGTCAAGGGGGGAGCAGAGGAATGGCAGGGACAGTGGTCAGTGGTGAGGAGCAGGGGGAGTGGGCAGTGGTCATCAAAAGGGACAACAGGGAGTGGCCATCAGTGGGACCAGGAGGAATGGGCAGTGGTCATCAGGAGGGACAACAGGGAATGGGCAGTGGTCATCAGCAGGGACAAGGCAAAGTGGGCAGTGGTCATCAGGAGGGACAACAGGGAAGGGGCAGTGGTCATCAGTGGGACAAGGCAAAGTGGGCAGTGGTCATCAGTGGAGAACAGGAGGAGTGGGCAGTGGTCATCAAAAGGGACAACAGAGAGTGGGCTGTGGTCAGCAGCAGGGACAAGGAGGAATGGGCAGTGGTCATTAGTGGGGACCAGGGGGAATAGCCAGTGGTCATCAGTGGGACAGCAAGGAGTGGGCAGTGGTCATCAAAAGGGACAACAGGGAATGGGCAGTGGTCATCAGTGAATTGCAGGACAGTGGTCAGCAGTGGGGACAACGGGGAATGGTGGCACAGTGGTCATCATCAGGGACCCCAGACAAGGAGGGGTCAGTGGTGCCCAGGACAGGGACAGGAGGTGTCACCGTGCCCAGGACAGGGACAGATCTGGCGGCACAGGGCCCCCCCCAGCTGCCGGGCCCCGCTGAGCAGCAGCCGCAGCACCGTGTCCCTTGTCCCCGCGTCCCCCCGTGACAGCTGCAGCAGGACATTGGCCGCGTCCTCCAGCCCCTCCTCCGAGCACGAGTGTGATGTCAGCACCTGGGGGCAGCACAGGGGGGGTTGGGGACACCTGGGGACAGCAGGACACCCCCCATGCCCAGCCTGGCCCCCCCGGTACCTCCACGGAGAGCTGGAGCTGGCTCTCGGTCAGGCCCGTGGCTGCCAGCCGGGGGTCGGAGCCACCCTCGGGGACCTTGGCAGGGGACTTGGAGCTCTTGGCAGGGGCTGGGGACAGCAGGGACACAGCGGTGGGGGTGGTGGCAGTGGGTGGGAGATGCCACCGAGATGCCACCCCCACCCTGCCCAGGCTGCTCCCTGTGCTGTTGTGACATCCTGTCACCATGTCCCATCTCTGTCCCCATGTCCCCATCCCCCATGTCCCCCTCCCCTTTCCAATGCCCTCATCTCTGTTCCCATGTCCCCATCTCCACATTCCCACCCCGTCCCTGTCCCCATCCTTGACCCCTGTCCCCATCCCTGTCCCCCTGTTCCCATTCCCTGTTGCCCTGTCCCCACCCCTATCCCCATTTGCTGTCCCCCGTTCCCATTTCCCATCCCTTGTCCCCATCCCTATCCCCATTTCCTGTCCCCCTGTCCCCAACACCCTGTCCTCCTGTCCCTATCCCCATCCCCCTGTCCTCATCCCCCTGGTCTTTGGGGGGGCCGCGGTCGCGCTCCGGGTCGGTGGTGGGGTCTCGGCCTCGTTGTTGGGTGAAGTGGCTGGGGAAGACCTGAGGGGGGGACAGGGGGTGTCAGGGGGATGCTGATGACCCCAAAACCATCCCAAAACCACCCCGGAGTCCCCTGTGCCCCCCTATCCCAGGAGGCCTCAGTCATGCCCAGGCCCCCCACAGGTTTTGGGGATCATCTCCCCACCAGGTGATCCCTGTGCAACTGAGAGGGACCCCAAGTGTGGGGAGGGGTCCTCAGTTGTGCCCCCCAGGTGTGGGAATGTTCCAGTGCCCCCCACAGTTTTCTCCAGTGACCCCCAGCTACCCTTTAACGTGCCCTGGTGCACCCCAAAATGTGCCCTACAAAACCTCCCACGTTCAAGGAACCTCCCAGAAACCCAAAAATGGTCTCTAGCATTAGCGAATTTCACCCGGAGATCCCCAAACCACCCATTAATGTGCCAAAAACCTTCCAGAAACCTACCCAAAAACCCAAGAACGCTCCCCAATTTCCCCTGAAGAACCCCAAACACCTCACCCTCCCAGCACCCCCACCTTGGCCAGCTGGATGAGGGTGTCCAGCACGTGCCGGCACACCACGGGCGCGGCCTGGGGGTGGATGTGGACGGCGGAGCCGGCGGCCGCCGCGTGTTTCTCCGTGTGCTTGCGGCCGGGCACGCGCTGGATCTGGAAGATGTTGGTCCTGCAGCCCAAGGCCGCGTCCATGGACACGGAGAGCCAGGACAGCTGCCCGGAGCTGCGCGATTCCATGCGGTGCAGCAGGTCCAACCCGCGCGGCTCCGCGGCCGAGCCGGGCCCGGCGCGGCTTCCGCCGCCTCGGCCCCGCGGCCGCTCCTCGGAGCCCGGCCCGGGGGTCCCGCGGGGGGTCTCGAGGCACAGCTCGCTCTCGCTGCTGCGCTGCAGGATGGACAGCAGGCTGCGGACCACCCAGCCCCGCGTGGGAGCGTGGTAGCAGAGGTTGCGCAGGACGCGGTGCAGGCGGCTGGTGTTCAGCTTGGGCTCGTCCACGAAGAGCAGCACCAGCAGGCAGGACAGAGCCTCGTGGTCCAGCAGCAGCCGCCCGCGCAGGCGCAGCAGGCTGTCCACGCTGCTGCCCGCCGGCCTGGGGATGGGGGATAGCCAGGAGTGCCCCAAAGTGACCCAAACCAGACCCCTAATGACCCAAAACAGACCCTGCACTGTACTGTCCACGCTGCTGCCCGCCGGCCTGGGGATGGGGGATAGCCAGGAGTGCCCCAAAGTGACCCAAACCAGACCCCTAATGACCCAAAACAGACCCTGCACTGTACTGTCCACGCTGCTGCCCGCCGGCCTGGGGATGGGGGATAGCCAGGAGTGCCCCAAAGTGACCCAAACCAGACCCCTAATGACCCAAAACAGACCCTGCACTGTACTGTCCACGCTGCTGCCCGCCGGCCTGGGGATGGGGGATAGCCAGGAGTGCCCCAAAGTGACCCAAACCAGACCCCTAATGACCCAAAACAGACCCTGCACTGTACTGTCCACGCTGCTGCCCGCCGGCCTGGGGATGGGGGATAGCCAGGAGTGCCCCAAAGTGACCCAAACCAGACCCCTAATGACCCAAAACAGACCCTGCACTGTACTGTCCACGCTGCTGCCCGCCGGCCTGGGGATGGGGGATAGCCAGGAGTGCCCCAAAGTGACCCAAACCAGACCCCTAATGACCCAAAACAGACCCTGCACTGTACTGTCCACGCTGCTGCCCGCCGGCCTGGGGATGGGGGATAGCCAGGAGTGCCCCAAAGTGACCCAAACCAGACCCCTAATGACCCAAAACAGACCCTGCACTGTACTGTCCACGCTGCTGCCCGCCGGCCTGGGGATGGGGGATAGCCAGGAGTGCCCCAAAGTGACCCAAACCAGACCCCTAATGACCCAAAACAGACCCTGCACTGTACTGTCCACGCTGCTGCCCGCCGGCCTGGGGATGGGGGATAGCCAGGAGTGCCCCAAAGTGACCCAAACCAGACCCCTAATGACCCAAAACAGACCCTGCACTGTACTGTCCACGCTGCTGCCCGCCGGCCTGGGGATGGGGGATAGCCAGGAGTGCCCCAAAGTGACCCAAACCAGACCCCTAATGACCCAAACCACACCTGAAAGTGCTCTGTCCATGCTGCTGCCCGCCAGCCTGGGAGGACAACTGAGACTGACCCCAAACTGACCAAAACCGACCCCAAACTGACCTAAACTGACCCCAAACTGCCCTGTCCACTCTGCTGCCTTCTGGCCTGGGGACACCGTTATACCCAGATTTATCCGAAACTGACCCCAAACCAACCCCAAAATGACCCTTAAACTGACCCCAAACAGTCCCAGACACCCCCTACCCTCTCAGGCTGTCACCCCCTCACCCAGAGCTGTGCCCCCACAGCTGTGCCCCAGCCCCACTGACCTGCTGTGGGTGCCGGTGCCCCCCATGTGGAAGGTGCCCCCCCTCTGCACCGCCAGCCGCGTGTACTGAACGCCCCGGTTCCCGCTGAGCCGGCTGGTGAACGCTGCGGGGACAGAGACAGGGACACCGGTGTCACACAGCGGGGACATGGCACGGACTGGGGACACGTCACACACTGTGGACACAAGGGATGTGTCACACAGCAGGGACATGGCACGGACTGGGGACACTGGGAACATGTCACACACTAGGGACACCAGGGATGTGTCACATGGCACGGACTGGGGACAGTGGGAACACGTCACACACTGGGGACACCAGGCATGTGTCACACAGCGGGGACATGGCACGGACTGGGGACACGTCACACACTGTGGACACAAGGGATGTGTCACACAGCAGGGACATGACACGGACTGGGGACACTCAGGATGTGTCACACACCAGGGACACGTCACACAGCAGGGTCAGGGACGTGTCACACAACGAGGACAGTGGGGATTTGTCACACACTGGGGACGTGTTACACACTGGGGACACCAGGGATTTGTCACACACTGGGGACACGTCACACAGCAGGGACACTGGCGATGTGTCACACAGCGGGGATGCCAGGAATGTGTCACACGGGGGGGGACAGGGGGAGATGGGAGAGAATCAGGATGGGGACACAGGGAATGGGGGGGCAGGGGGAACTGGGAGGGACTGAAGGAATTGGGAGGGACAGAGAAAATTGGGGGGGGCAGAGGGGATTGGAGCGGCAGAGAGAATTATGGGGGACACAAGGAACTGTGGGGGACAGAAGGATTTAGGGGGACACAGAAGGAATTGTGGGGGACATAGGGATTTGGGGGGACACAGAGGGATTCAGGGGGCAGAGGGAATTGAGGGGAACACAGAGGGAACTGTGGGGGACAGAAGGACTTGGGGGGACACAGAAAGATTTGGGGGGACACAAAGGAATTGTGGGGGCCACAGAGGGATTTGGGGGGACACAGAGGGATTTGAGGGGACACAGAGGGATTTGGGGAGCAGAGGGAACTGGGGGGAACACAGAGGGAACTGGGGGGGACAGAAGGATTTGTAGGGACACAGAAGGAATTGTGGGGAACACGGATTTGGGGGGGACACAGAGGGATTCGGGGGGCAGCAGGACAGATCCCCCCTCACCGGGGCTGCGCAGGATGGCCGAGAGCGCCGAGGTGCTGGAGTGGCCGAAGAGGCGCTCGTGCATGAGCTGCCGCTGCCGCGCCTCCTGCTCGCGCCGCAGCGCCTGCGCCTCGGCCGCGATGTCCGGCGGCATCACGGCCAGCACCGAGTCCTCCATGTCCTCCAGCACCGAGCGCCGCAGCTCGGACGGCAGCGTCTGGATGAACGTCACCGGGTCCATGGGCGCGTCCGAGCCCGTGGCCTGAGCCAGCTCCCGCCGCTGCTGCTCCGCCCGCTGCTGCGCCAGCACCTGTGGGGGACAGCGCTGGGACACGGCCGGGACCGCGGGGACACGGCCCGAGAGCACGTCCACATGGGGACGTGTCCCAAAGAGGCCACGCCCTGAGAGACCACGCCCCAGAGGCCACGCCCCTATGGGGATGTATCCCAAGGAGGCCACACCCTGAGAGGCCACGCCCCAAAGAGGCCACGCCCCTATGGGGATGTGTCAGGGGGGAGTGGCACTGACCAGCCATAGGGGACACAGGGGTGTCACTGACTGGTGACAGGGGACACAGGGGTGTCACTGATCACTGATCACTGACAAGGGACACAGGGGTGTCACTGACTGGTGACAAGGGACACAGGGGGTGTCACTGATCACTGACAGGGGACACAGGGGTGTCACTGACTGGTGACAAGGGACACAGGGGTGTCACTGATCACTGACAGGGGACACAGGGGGTGTCACTGACTGGTGACAAGGGACACAGGGGTGTCACTGATCAATGATCACTGACAAGGGACACAGGGGGTGTCACTAATCACTGATAGGGGTCACAGGGGGTGTCACTGACTGGTGACAAGGGACACAGGGGTGTCACTGATCAATGATCACTGACAAGGGACACAGGGGGTGTCACTAATCACTGATAGGGGTCACAGGGGGTGTCACTGACTGGTGACAAGGGACACAGGGGTGTCACTGATCAATGATCACTGACAAGGGACACAGGGGGTGTCACTAATCACTGATAGGGGTCACAGGGGGTGTCACTGACTGGTGACAAGGGACACAGGGGTGTCACTGATCAATGATCACTGACAAGGGACACAGGGGGTGTCACTAATCACTGATAGGGGTCACAGGGGGTGTCACTGACTGGTGACAAGGGACACAGGGGTGTCACTGATCAATGATCACTGACAAGGGACACAGGGGGTGTCACTAATCACTGATAGGGGTCACAGGGGGTGTCACTGACTGGTGACAAGGGACACAGGGGTGTCACTGATCAATGATCACTGACAAGGGACACAGGGGGTGTCACTAATCACTGATAGGGGTCACAGGGGGTGTCACTGACTGGTGACAAGGGACACAGGGGTGTCACTGATCAATGATCACTGACAAGGGACACAGGGGGTGTCACTAATCACTGATAGGGGTCACAGGGGGTGTCACTGACTGGTGACAAGGCCACACTCTGAGAGACCACGCCCCAGAGGCCACATTCCTATGGGACATGTCCCAAAGAGGCCACACCCCTAAGGGGACACACCCCAAAGAAGCCACACCCCAAGAGGCCACACCCCTAAGGGGACACACCCTAAAAGGCCACACCCCAGGAGGCCACACCTCTATGTGGACACACCCCAAAGAGGCCACACCCCAAAGAGGCCACACCCAAGCTGTAGCCCTGCCCACACCATGACCACACCCACCTCCTCCTGGATGGCCGGGGGCAGCGCCGCCAGGAACTCGGGGCTGACCTCGGTGAGGCCGGGGTTGGCCACCACGGGCGGGGCGGGGCTGGCGGTGGGCGGGGCCCGTGCAGGTGGGCGGATCCCCAGCTGGTTCTGCAGCACCTCCCGCCGGATGTCGTCAGGCAGCGCCGCCAGGAAGGACGGGTCCACGCCCTCGGGGAGGCTGATCCCTGTGACATGTTGGGGACACGTTGGGGACACCCTAGGGAATGGACTGGGACCTTCCAGGGATGCCATGAAAATCCCTGGAACTCCCAGGGATGCCCCTAAAAGCCTTTGGAGACACCCTGACATCCCTCAGGGACACCTCAAAACCATCAGGGACAGCCCTAAAAACTTCTGGGGACACACTGAAATCTCCCAGGGACACCCCTAAAAAACCCCACGGGGACAGGGGATTCTGGAAGGTGACAGAGGGGACATGGAAGGGCAGGGGGGAGTGGCACTAACCAGCCAGAGGGGCCAGAGGGGTCACAGGACCAGCCATAGGGGACACAGGGGTGACACTGACCGGTGACAAGGCACACAGGGGTGCCATTGATCACTGACAGGGGACACAGGGGGTGTCACTGACTGGTGACAAGGGACACAGGGGTGTCACTGATCAATGATCACTGACAAGGGACACAGGGGGTGTCACTAATCACTGATAGGGGTCACAGGGGGTGTCACTGACTGGTGACAGGGGACACAGGGGTGTCACTGATCACTATCACCAGTGTCCGGTGGGGACCAGGAGGGGGGGTCTCTCCCGGGGTCCCGCTGTGTTCTGGGAGGGGGGGGTGGGACACACGCAGGGATCAACACTGGGGGGAAACCCAGAAATTTGGGAGCCCCTCCCACTCCGCACCCCAAAACCTCCCTTTCTTCCCCATTTTGGGGAATCCCAGACACCCAGATGTGCCCTAAAAATGAGAGGGGGTCCCCAGTGGGGATAGAAGAAGGTGTGGGGGGGAAAGAGACTTATTTTGGGGAGGAAGGAGACAATTTGGGCTGGGAGAAAACAATTTATGGGGACGAGAAAATCTGGGGGGAGGAGATGATGTAGGAGTGGAGACAATTTTGGGGGTGGGGAGGAAACAATTTAGGGCAGGGCACATCCCACCCCTAGAGCTAAACCACCCCCCAAATTCCATTCAACCCCTCCCCAAAAACCAAAAAAAAACCTTTAAACCCCCCAAAACCACCAGATTTCCCCATTTTAACCCCCCCCCGCCCCCATCCTGGATGTGCTGGT